TAATAATTTAATTATTTGATCAGTGAGAATTTACTAAGTACAAAGAAACAAAGGGGTACAATAAAAATTTTCTCTAATAAAGATGTATCGAATATTTCCTCTGTATCACAGTAATGCCCATCATTTCTATTATGCTAGTCCATGAGTACTGCACTGGAACTCTCTCTCCTTTCTGATTACTCCTGAGGATAATCTGCTATCTTTGATGTATAATTAGGATTGTAATTTATTAGGGACTCTGTAAAACGAAAATGAGTTACAGTAACATTTATGTAAGGAGGACTCAGGCATGTGATTCTCAGGTATATTTCAGTTACCATGAATTTAAAAAAATGCATGACTTTTTTACATCTTTAAGCAGCTAATGAAATATTATATTTCCCTAAATTTGCAAACTTGACCTCAAAAGAAAATCAAAATTGTGAAACAGCCATCTATGGCTTAAACATAACTGAGTACATATCATTTATTGAATACCTTTTAAAATTTAAAATATGTAATATTTTAGACAAGCCAGTCCATGAAGACAGAAGTCCGTAAAACCCCTAGAAGACACAGCTGAAGGGAAACAGGGTAGCTGACTTGCAGTTACCAAATACCTTCCTTTCTTCTCTGTGTTCGAGGCAATCACAGTGACGCTGCCTGTCCCCCTAAGAGTCATCACCCAGTTGCATCATTTCCAACAGGCTGTTATTAAGGAGCACTGCATAACTGGGGCAGAACTATACACTTATTTACGTATTAGACTTCAAAACGCAGAGTGAGATAAGATGTAAAACAGACACATTTGTACGCCACCCAGTAGATGACTCGTAGTAGGAACATGTCTTGATGGCTGGACTGTATAAGGCTTTCTGACAACATAGGTTTTCTGTCAACAGACGTCTAATTTTGCCAGTTTCTCATTTCCTTAACTGGAAGGTTTCGAAAACAGAAGTTACCAAGCACCCATGTACATATAGACCATAAAATGGTTTTTGTGGCATTTTAGATTTTAGACAGGCTTGCATGTCCCCAGGTCATCATAAGGCAGTGGCATAAATTATTTTTCAGTTTTAGAGAAAAGATAAAAAGTTCTCTAAAAGCCGGGCGTGGTGGCGCACGCCTGTAATCCCAGCATTTGGGAGGCTGAGGCAGGAGGATCACTGTGAGTTCGAGACCAGCCTGAGCTACATAGTGAGTTCTAGGTCAGTCTCACTACATAGTGAGACCCTGTCTCAAAAAACCAAAAAAATAAAAAATTAAAATAAAAAAATTCTCTAATTATATGTGTATAAATAAAAATAAAGGGGGACAAGTGATAATTTGTGTATAGTTTAAATCTCACTTTCATTTTAACCAAAGAAGTCATACTGAACCAGTTCTATGAAAATTCTGAGCCCAGTTGTACCTGTCAAATTGTATTAGTCATAGAAGCAATTTTATCTTTAAGCTGTCTTGCCCAGGGCTGACCATGAGACACGGTCATTTCACATGGTAATTTTGGATGACAGATTTCCCTGGGCTTACGTGGTTCTAGAAGGCAATTATAAAAACAGAGGTCATTAACACCGCATTTGATTATGTAGTATAATAATGCAAAAAAAGTCCACCACTTTATATCTACAGAAATTGATGTGATGATGGGGTGCTAATTTATATGAAAAAACACATTTTTCATTCCAAACTAAAATTATGAACTAAATTTCCAAATGCTCATGTGAATTTTTAACAGCTAATTTACTGATGTGTATAGATATAACATTTTGGTAATATATTAAATCTTTTTGTTGCTTTCTTTTAATCTAATATTTCTATTTTTAATGTATCCTGGAAATTATGTCCTGTGGTTTAGAAAGGGAATGTGTCCTTATGCATGTAAATTTATGTGCAATTATATCAAAAGAAAATATATTTTAAATTCAATGCTTCCCACAGAGTATTACAAATAGAATTGCTAGAAGAGCTTTCAATTTCCAAAAGAGGAAATACCGAAATATAATAAATGGGAGGCATAGACTGGGGAAGTCATTATTTTAGAAAAAGTGTTTTCGAGGGGATTAATTGGTCTATTTTAAATACTAGGTGGTCAAATCATCATGCTTGGATGCCATATGCTTTACTGGGAGCTATTTTTGATTTGCAAAAATGGTTGAAGAATAAATTTAAAAGATATATTTTTATGGCCAGTAAGGGTGTGGACAGTGTTTAATGAAGCTGAATGTGAACCTACCCTTCATTTCTTCTCCTCCTTCTCAGACACCTTTGCACTCATGATTCTATTTTTTTTTTCTTTTTTCTTTATTGGTACATTTGAGGTATATGATACAGTCACATGCATTTTGTTCCTAGCTGGGAGACATACTGTGCACTGCTTTGACGAACCTACCAGAATCAGAAGTGACTTTCTGAACACTGTGTTTAATCTGGCAGTTTCCAGGCAGTCACTCTGTCACTCACATAAATGTAATAAAACATGAGAGAGAAGTGCTCTGTGGAATATGATAGTGTGCATTTTGTGTACAAACAAAACAAAAGTTATACTGTATCATAGATGTTTTATAGTATATAAATTATAATGCTGTCACTTACTGAAACAAGGAAAATTAAGTAATATCTTTAAAAATTATTTCAATATTAAAGTCAAAGGAATAATTCATCTATAATAGGAGTATATTGTATCTTCATATTTCTAAGAGCTATACTAGGACCTAAAGATGTAAAAATTAATGAAATAGCATTTCCTTAAAAAATCATGATGTTTGAGGAATTGAACACATAGTTTATTATAAAAACACCATGAAGTATTATGGGGCATTAACAAAGGCAGGCTAGTACTTTAAGAAATGAATTTGTTATAAAAATTAGTATTTAAAAGGAGCATTTCAACTAAACAAAATACAAGAAAAACACTAAACTGGCAGTTTAAAGCTCTGTGCTCAGAACTGACTCATTCCTGGTAGCACGTGAGCTTTGTGAATTTAGATTTACATGTTAGTCGTTCATTTTTCTCAGCCATCAAATAAGAATGAAACTGCTTTATTAAGAATTTAAAGAGCAAGATAAAATGGTGACTGTGAGAATGTTTGCTGAAATTTGCTATGAAGTTAATAATGGTAAGATTAGCCTTAAAGCATAGAGTCATTAACTAGCCTGTTCAGAATCAGTGCCGTGATAACAGAAAGCATCATCTGTTACTGGTAACATCTTGAGAAATTTTTATCTTCTGTTTTATAGATACATGCTCATTTCCATGTACTTATAAATTAATATATTTTCTTATTCTCTAAACAAAAGCATATTTCCCTGCCATACAGAGTTTTGGCAATAGGATTGTGTAAGCGGAAGCCAAACATCAAAGTCATTCATGATTTTACCACTGGAGAGCTCTAATATTCAAATCTGAAATATTTATTTCAAGTCTTTTAAAATATGTATAGATAGCAAGCTAACGCTTAGAAACATGGACAAATATACATGTTATCTTAAAGTAGCAAGCTGCTAAGCGTGAACATTTGATTCATATTACATCTTAGTCTCTCATAATAGATGAACATAAGATTTTTACATTTGTAGGCTAATAATATAAAATTTAGACTATTTAGATATCATTTCTCTTTGTGTCAAACCTGTGAAGTTTCAGGTTTTTTACAGAGAGAGATTTACTGTTTTGTACATCTTTCTTGTTTCCATTCTCCTATTAAATAATATACTCATAAAACATTAACATTTAAACTGGAAGCAATCAGGGAAGAAAACACTTATCTGCCTTGCCCACCAGCATGGAACTCTTTCATCTAGATTCTAAGCCATCAGTTGATGTCATTCAGAGAAACTCAGAAAAATAATAATTTGAGGGGAATGAAGATATAAACCCTAAACCTTTCCCAGTGCTACAGGATCATCACCTTCATCTACTTTTTACGGAGTTTGCTTTCATTCCCTTTAGGGAACCAAACTTGCCTCCTACCCTACCTTTTCCTTTTCCTTTCCTTGCAGTGCCTTCTCACCCTGGAAATAAGCTTCCCACGTACTTAAATATTTGATAAGCATTAGTTTCACTACTCAAGGCCCTCTAAAGGGTTTAAGATGATCTGTATATATTTACTTTTTAAAAAAATGTTTGTGTATAATTTAGAGGGCCAGAATAGTTGAATTTGGGTTCCTGATCTTATTAAGTATTATTTTTTGAAACTTATTTTATCACTGAATGGTAAAATTATGCATAATCATATGATTTCTCATACCATTTTGGGAAAAGAAGCCACTGAATAATTTTTTCACAGTGTTATCAACCACATGAAGAAAGGATTACTCCAGAATTCTCATTTTTTGTTACAATATGACCAACTTTTGCTTACTGAAAATAAATATTATTTGGGCACGCACTGTGCTGTAGATACTGGTGGTAAAGCCATAAATTATCAAAGTCCCTGGTTATATGGAACTTAACTTCAGAAAGACTGAGCAATACACATGCTAATAAGAATATCTTACATAATGCCATCAAATCTTTGAGATATTCATTATTGTGTAAGTGGCAGCTCTATTGTTTCTTCATCTTGTTAACAAATATTGTTAACAAATATACTTCTGAATCTTAAAGCTCATTTTTCAGACTTTTGAATTCTTGTTTTAATGTTCTATTACACTCTACATAAACATTGTTGTAAAGGAATCAAACTATGAGATTAAAAAAAAATCCTCACAAAATTAGCCAAATTGTAATTATTCATGTAATAAATTGTTATATAATTTTTTAATTTTATGCACTCATCTAAGCTTATCGTAATAAAATGTATATGATCATGAATTAGCATTTTCTTGAACAATGTATGAATGTATTTCAATAATAATAATAATAATAATAATAATAATAATAATATATATTGACCTGCCGACTAAGACACTGTTTTCTCATTATTTTCATTCAAAATTTATATTTTGCCTTTTATTTCCCACTCTGGAATTATATTTTTCTATCTTAAGTATGTCTTCAAGTATCTTCATCCTTCTTCCAGGAATTTGCTGCACTGACAAAAGAATTAAACGCCTGCAGGGAACAACTTCTGGAAAAAGAAGAAGAAATTTCTGAACTCAAGGCTGAAAGAAACAACACAAGAGTAAGTATAAAGTAGTCTATTCTTGGAATTAATTCCATACATAGTTCAATGCCTTATATCCAGTATTCATATAAAAATATAAGCACTTAGAAACTTCAGGAGTACTTTAAGCAGATATCATCTCCCAGATACTTTTAAAAAGCACATACTACGGAAACTCAAAGTGACAGGAAGCCTAAATTATAGTCTTGGCTACTAAATCACTGTGTTGCCTCAGAAAATATCCTCATTCCTTCTGGCTTTTACTTTATTGGACTTTAAAAAGAAGGAATGCATTTCAATAATGGGTTTCAAACGTTCAAATGGCTGTTGGAAGAAGACGAATACCTCAGAGGCTACAAATGGACAAATAAGGAGACTTGGGAGAGAACTGAGAGTTTATTTTAAAAGGAAAGAAAAGTGTTCAAAATGTAAAACCATTGGGAAAGATCTCTGCCAATAGAAAGAGACCTACCATTTAATTGTTAGAAGGTCACCGAAGAAGACTTTGAGTTTTGATGTGCATTCTGGTTTTATGAAATCTAGTTTCATAGAAGTTGATACATTCTACTCTCGGAAACTCATATATCTTTTCATATGACATGTCATGTAGCATAAATGTTCATAATTTAATAAAAGTTGTTTAATTTTTTAGCTTAGAGATTTCATAAAATAAATAAATTCCACATTACTCATAAATGAGTAATTTAGTAAAGAAAAGTAGAAAACACTTTTGTGTAGATACAAATTTCATTCAAATGTTAAGCAGTTGAAAATATTTTAAGTATCATAGTTTAACAAATTAATGCTGAGAAAATAAAGCACAGTTAGTGGCCATCTCTGCTTGGTTTTAGAGACTAAAATATAGCTCCATAAAATGTGAGTTTGTGCCTCTAATAAAAGTAGGAATTGCGTGCATAATGGTTGTATGATCAAATTTAATTTATGTCTTTATTCATCAGGGTCTTATTGTGTGGCAAAGAAAACTAATTGGTGCTCATTGAGACTTTGATGAACTGGTCACTTAGCTTACCTCAAATAGATTATTACAAGAGCAATTCAGATCATGTTATAGGTGTCAGATGAAATTACTTTTCTCTCTCCCTCTGTATTTTTCCTACTTTTGATTTTTAACAACATTCTTCTTTTACACAAATTTGAAGTTTGTTTCTGTCATGAAATTTATTCTGCCCTTATTTTACATTTTAATATAGATTTGATGCACTTCAGCACAACCAAATGTAAAAATAGAAGCAGGAAACTAAGTATGGGGAACACACAGCTATCTGTCTATCTATCTCTCTACTCTGTGAATTTACACCTAAAGTGCACCAGACACTTTTATTAGCTATGCATATATTTCTCCTTTATTATGTTTTTCTATAGCTCTTTATACCTTTCTATATGCCAATGAAGGAGGTGTTATGATTATCTCCATTTTTATAAATGAGTTGAACTCAGAAAATGTCAGTTAGCCCAGCAGAAGTCACACAATAAAGAGCAGAGAAAGGATGCGAAAGATAAGACATCCAAATCCAGAGCCTGTGCTCCAACCATGAGGTCCTCAGCAGGATTACTCGTTATATTCATGAAAGAACTCAACACAACTATAGTTTAAAGGAAACATTGTCTGAAAGGTATACAGTGTAATTATTGCTTAAGTGTGGGCCATGTTTTACTTTCTTAGCTATGACTAATTTCATAAATTTAGGAGAATTGGTCCTGTATCCACATAATTCTCATCATATTAAAAGCCATTAGGCCTACAAGCATCTTTGGCTATTGCAACTGTATAGGACCTTTGGATAATGAAATCCTTTACATAGGTGAGCTACACTTAAAATACATATTCAGTAGTCAGAGGGAGAAAAATATAAAATTCCTTTAGGACAACAGAAATTGAAGCCATCAATTTTAAGTATGAATAACAATTTGAAAATATGAATAAAACTAAGGAACAGTTTTCTACCTTTTATTATTGATGATATCAAGGAAATCAGATTTATGAGATTTCCCTTATGCACAGTTCTGGTTATATAACTGCTTCTTAAATTACACACCCACTTCTAATCCTTCTCCTCCCACAACCTCAAACACCAGGGCTGAAATTCAGACATACCTTTTGCCTCCCTTCAAAATGCCTCCATCAAATTTGACTACATTTTAATTTTGACTGCTATAGCTGTTTCTCTTCCTATATGTTATATACTTATCTTCTGTACAAATGTACTTATTGGTTTCAAAAAGGAAGCAACAATTTTAAATTTCTGTCACACCTAAAGAAAATTTGATTGGTATTAAAATGCGAGCCGGGCATGGCGGGGCAGACCTGTAATCCCAGCACCTGGGAGGCTGAGGCAGGAGGATCCCTGTTTTCAAGACCAGCCTGAGCTACATAGTGAGTTCCAAGTCAGTCTCAACTACATAGTGAGACCTTGTCTTAAAAAACAAAATAACAACAAAAAAAAGTGAGAAAATTTAAAATAGAATTCAAGTTCAGATTTCCAAGGTTTTGATCAACTTCTGGCTCCATATGAAGGAGTCAGCTAACATATGTTTATGTACAGAGATAAAAATACAAAAGAGCCCACAAAGAGAACTCCTGAGTAGATATTGTTAATTGTGTTAATTCTGAGAATTGTCAAAAGACCCTCCCACATAATCAAAGTTGAGTAAATAATATCTTCTCACTAACTAGAAAGAAGTTTAAGTGGGGGTTGAATGAAATTTACTTAATACATGGAGTAATAATAATGAAAATACTTTAGCTAGCCTTATTGAGTGTTAAATATTTTTCCAAATGCTTTGAGTATTTAACTCGCTATATACTCACACCAGTTACTATCCCAATGTCACTAATGAGGACATTAAGGTACTAAGTGACCCGCCAAGGCCACACGGCCTGCATGTGACACATCTAGTGATTCTGAGTCTTGGTTTAATCACAGGTTATGCATTTAGAAATCACATTTCTATTTCACCCACAACTCAGTTCTGATGCAGAGTGATTGATGATGTTTAGAGAACAGTGGAATTTATTTAAATTTCTATAATTCAGTAATTACCATCATGTGAAAAAATGTATTTATTTTGATGTCAGAGCCGAAAGTTGTGGCAATGTATTATTTTTCTCACTACAGAAATACCTGGTCCTCAGCTCAAAAGTACAAATGAATGAATTAAATCAATGTAATTTCTAGCTGCTCTTAAGTCATCTGAACATCATTCATGTTTATATAAAATCTACATTTCAAAAATTACAGTAGATATTTATAGAAACATACAAATAAACTATTTTATTTCCTAATTGGATAGTATACAAATGTAGAAAAAATAGAATTGTTGATAGATAAATTGAAACTTTATAATATTCATAATATTGAGAATAGAAAATAATTAACCTCAATATATAAAACTTATGAAATAAGTATAAGTTGTGAAATAACATGTATAAAACTTCTGTGTTAATTAGGTAATTTTTGTTTATATAAAGTAATATATTCCAGATTTATTTCAACATACTCAAATTGATGGTAAAACTTACCATGTTTTGGCAAAATTATATAGATGAATTAAAAGATAAAGAAAAATTGAGAATAGTAATGCAGTTAATACTGTCAGTATCAGAATAGAGAATAATATTTTATTGTTAGAACTATCTAAACGTTTTTTGTGGCTGAGGGCTTTTAAATATGGCATAAGTTATTGATAATGTTTTAAATTATAGCTATTATATGGCTTTGAAAAAGAAGCTATGGATTTGAGAGCCAATCTTAAGGGCATTTATAAATAATAAAAGTAATTTAATCTCATAGATCATAAATGAAGAGAAAGACTTAACTGCCCTGTAAACATTCTTACCATGCCCTTACTTTTGTTTTGAGCCAAAGGAGTCATCTTAACAGTGTTCTGATGGAATCAGGCACTTGTTATTAGAAAGAAAAAAATCTTCTATTCTTGACAAATCTGTATCTATACAAATTAGTAATTGCCTCCAAACATACTTCCTTAATTAAAATGTGCAACCTAATTCAAGTAGACTCTAACATGTGTATACAGATAAGCATGCTACATGTATACGCATATGTGTACCTGTTTATTTATTTATGAAAAGTCTAAGCTAAGTACAATGCAAGAAGGAACAAGATAGGACACACACCCTCTCAACAGCTATTTTGATGTGATAATCAAGCATGTACATACACAACATCAGTTTTAAACCATATTTGAAGGTGACGATGGCACATGGGCTAGTCATGAAAGCAAGCAATTTAAAGTCTGTCACTTTCTGATGTTAGTGTTTTGCTATGGCATCATATTAAATTAAGCAAACTAATTTCCAGGACACAATGTATTTCTACTTGAATGATATTTGTTACTGAAAATACTTGCACACAAAGTTATGCTGAATTCACATCTAATAGGAAGGAGTGTAGTTTGGGAAACTCTTGCAGAAGCATAATAAAAGACAGAAATAAATTATTCAAGATATTTTATTTGGCAAGACAAGCTCCAAAACTTTAAATTCCCAATGATTATGTAGGATGTGTTATGCTCCTGTGTGTGTGTATATAACATGTGCACATAAGTGTGTATACATATATCGTCCCTGGTGTTGTGAAATTCTAACATATGACCGATGGCCATTTTTATTGTGACTGCCATCTTCTGATGTTATCAAAGAGTGTCATCAGCACCTGGTTCAGTTTTAAATATTAGACTAAAGTTGCGACTCACAGTAAAGGTGTACAATTGTTAGATTATTAGTGATGCCTTAGATTAATTGTTCCTCTTATGATTTACATGCATTTACCTAAATTTTAAACAACAGACTTTTTATTTGTCATGATTAAAATCTGAATTTCAGGCAAATTCTTATCTGGTGGTTCCTATCCATTGACTTGTAGAACTTTAGCATCTGGCTCATTTCCAGAAGTTTTCACAGAAATATTACCATCACCATGAAACTCTATTCCAAGCTGGACTTTTAAAAATGTAATTAATATTATTGGTGCAATTTA